GATCAAGTTGAGATCATAGACAAGTAACACCATATAGAAATTTTGGAAAATTAAGAAATCAGCACATATGCAAGGCCACAAAAATCTCCTGAGCACAGTGATAAATACAATATGAGAACCAGTAATAAGGAGTGCCAGAGAACAGCAATGATAACAACATAGTTGCAATATGAGCTCTGGTAAAAACATACAATGATAACAGCAAAATTGCAATATGAGCACTGGTAAAAATGGTTGCTGAAGACATTAGGTTTATAATACCCAGAAATTCATACCCAGACACATGGCATAGTGGATAAAGGCGTATGTTAGATCCAGTGACAGGACCCAAAGAGTGTGAGTTCAATACCCGGTTAAGGCAGAGGGAAATTAACAGGAGATAACTGACATCCATCAAACATGGCATGTGGAACTAAAACAGTCTACCCCAGTGAGCGAAATAAAGAGTTCGGTTCGACATTCCAACCACTTGAAGAAGGCCGGAGCGTACAACGGCCGAAACGTTGTGATAGATATGGCGACAAAGATGAGGACAATAGTTCGAATAATGTAAATAATGTAAAAAACTTTTCATAGCTACAGAGACAAGACATTGTGGAGAGCCTTGCTATATAAAGAAGGAAAATAGATCATGACCAAAATTCTTCCAAGTACTCCGTGATCTGATTTACTATGCGTCTATCGCACAGGAGAATGATATATCCTACCAGGATTTATTATTGACGGTCGCAATCTTAACAACAATATATGCATGCCACAGACGGAAAGAAGAAATCTGTAAAGGAATGCGAGAAGAAAGGATTAGGCATAAACTGCAAGACAACTGAATGCATGGTAATTAGCAAATGGAACAGCCCAAAATGCAAATTCACAATTGAAGACCTCAAAATCAAGCAAGTACAAGAATTTAAATATGTTGTAAGTATTTTATCAGAGGACAGAAACTGCGGCACTGGAATCAAAAGGAGCATTTGGATGGCCAAATATGCATTCAAAAAGCTAAACACAGTATTAAGAAACAAAACGTATTCTTAGTCCTCCTATACGGCAGTGAATGCTGGACAATCTCGTCAGATACTCAAAGCAACTGAAACGAGATTTTGCAAAACGATAAGTGAACACCGACGAGTTTTTACAGAAAATGAAAACAAATAGGGCATATAATTAACATCAGGACGAGACAGTTGAAATTTCTACGGCACACAATGAGAAAATAAGGCTTGGAAAAATTGATACTCACAGGGCAGACTGAAGGCAACAGGAACAGAGGAAAACAACGCATAATTTACACAGTGAGCTTGAGGAGATGAACTGCCGAATAATCTTTAGGAGACATAAGAAAACGATAAGGCTTATTAAGACTACGATCAAGGGAAATCATGGAGAGCCATGATCACCAACGCACTTAAAAGACACGACACATGAAGAAGACTAAGAAGAGGTATAACAATGTAACAATAAAATTTTCAAACTACTTAATCATTTGGTTATCTAGACTTGGATTGCGACTGGACATAAAATGTTAGAGAAGAAGTTTTTATTCGTTTCGTACAAGCGCATAGCATTTAAAATGTAGAGATATCCCTTTAACAGGGGGGAGGTTGGCGACATGTGCGGACGTTACAAAAATATAGGAAAATGTCTGTGTAAGTCAGCGGCGTTTTTAAGGTACTATAAAGCCAATGAGATGAAGTAGGGATCTTTAAGTCACTTACATACTCGACGTCAATCAATCAAAGGTGAAAGAGGCATCCTTCTTCATGTACGAAATATCAATCACTACATATGTATATTTTTAAGGGAAATTTGTCTTTTATTGAGTTTAGCTGGCCACTCGTATTCTCGGCTACTATGGCGGTTAGCCAATCCTTATTGTAGATGCTAACACAGGCGCATCATTAAAGTTCATATCTCCAAATATATATTGAGCCATAGTAATGCAATTTTTCGTCGGGGATTGTCCATGAAAATCACAACATCAAGAATTCGTTCAGCTTCCATACTAACTATAAAAAAGCTATTTGGACTGAGCAGAAATCTAATAAAAAAATCCGTAACAAGCATGTTAATTTTGAGAAATCTATCTATCTATCTATCTATCTATCTATATATATATATATATATATATATATATATATATATATAAATTTCAATATACCACTCTTTAACTATTAATAGTATTAATAATATTAACGAAATTCCTTTAATAATGAAGCACTTCAGAAGTCACCTAAAGTTAAACTTCAACTATAAAATCAAACTAAAATCTAAATAAATTTCAAACGTTAAAATATAGGTAATGATTGAGAAATGTATGTATATATAATTTATGTATGAAGATGGATGAACATTTGTGTATATTGTTACACGTGGGTCTAAGTGTGTATTTGCACATGTAAATAGACGTATGTATATATGGATCTGCATGAATATGTTTGTGAGATGCATATAAGAAGAAAACAAAATCTTTAATATTAACCTCAAATATTATTAAATAATGAAAACTAAACCTTAATTAAGTTTACCCATATAATAATAATGAAAAATTACATTCATAAATTAGATTTAAAGTAAAACTAATATAGATGTTATTGTTACCGAAATTTTTTTTACAATATTATGGAAGTACAATTGGTCGGGTAAATAAACTATTATAATTTTAAATATTTCTTTAATATGTTCTCGATAAATGTGCTAATAAAAATAGTAGTTAACTTATATTAAGTCCCTAAACTATTTACTTAAAAAATTAAATGTTTTAAACATTTAATTTTTTAAGCTGGCCACTCGTATTCTCGGCTACTATGGCATCATTTTTTAGACATCTAAGTTTCTATCAAGCATTGAAATCTATCTTTTACATAATTTTGTTAAAACAAAATTACAGCCTCTTTCGATTCACTTCCTTCTCCCCCTCTCTCTTTGCCGTAACACTCATTTAGATATATCTGTATTATTGTCGTCTGTCTCCTCTCTCCTTTCCATTTTTCATTTTCTTTCCTTCCACTACCCTCCCATTCCTATATATCATTTCCGTTAAGTTGACCATCTAAATAGGTCACGGTTCGGGTCACTCCTCCTACCCCAATATAAAGCATGCTTCAGAGAAATATGAAATTAACCCCTCCCTATACTTTACCTTGTCTCGTTAACTACAACTATCACCCTCCCTGTTAAATTACAAAAATTACACTACCCATCAATTTCTAATCCCATTTTTCCTTTCATTTCATTCTTGGAAGTGTTACCTGATGATCCGGAGTCCTTTAAAAAGGACTTTGGTGAAATAAATTATTGTAATGGTACCTTAAAGTGGTCTGTTTTTCATTATATATATATATATATATATATATATATATATCGCTTTCTCGCTTTCTTCTTTTCTCTCACTCTCTGTCTCGCTCTCTCTCTCTCTCTCTCTTTCTCTCTCTCTCTCTCTCTATATATATATATATATGTGTGTGTGTGTGTGTGTGTGTGTTTAAAATTCTAAGTACTAAAGAGTTCTAAGTACCATTTCCTCAATTATTGCAAAATGGATTTCCCCTTATTTAGTATCTAACTAGTATTTCTAACTAATTCTTTAAACTAAATCATCTGTTTTCTTAACCATTGAGTCACATATTTTGTTTATTTGAGTTCTATGTATTATGATTTTAGAACAAAATATAGAAATATTTGAAGCATTGTGATAATTGAAAACAATAGAAAAGATGGCTTGGGAAATTTGATACTCATAGGAAAGACTGAAGTCAAATTGGACAGAGGAACACAATGCACACCCTACCTAGTGGAGCTTGGGTAAATGTATGGCAGAACAAGATTTAGGTTTTATAATTAAAGGACAAAATATGTCTGTAAAAGAACAATGTACTTAAAGACAAAAGCAAGAATTATCTTAGCCAATACATCACGTCCTCTGATGGATTTTCTCTAGGCCAATGTAAGGATGTTATTTTGCAACAATTATGTATAAATAAGCATAAAATGTTCAGTTTTTTAGAACTTTTAAATCAAGAACGCACAAAATATACATCAGACTAATTTAAAATCGCGGTAAATTATGAAGGATTCGAAGTAATAGAAATTAATGTAATAAAAAATTGAGTAACTGTTGTCGTTTAAATCTTTTATTATGTAATTATTATTTATATTATTATAGTTTGAGGTTAAATTATTTATTATATATTTTAAATAACAGAAAGTTATAATTTGAACCTTTTTCATTTAATTCTTTAAAATTGTTATATTTATGTATATTGTCTTGAGGAAGGATTATTTCTTTCAGAAAAGGAAATATTAAAAAATCAACAGCGTATATTTATATTTTAGTAGAATTCGATAGCAGCACTCTCAAGAAGTTTTATGTCTAAATTAATTTCTTTTTTAATAAGTTTTGTATTTTTTTAGATCGAACTTGTGGTTGGATTTATTTCAATGTATGACGAATTCTTTTGATAAATTGTTGTGCATAATTTACTTTTTGTTTTCATTGATACGTTTTTGTAATTTTTTACCTTTCGCCAATGTCTTGTAAGGCACAGTAATATATACCAGCTTCAGAATGATTATTTTTATGGATATATTTGATTCTGATTAGAGCCATAATAATTTTGCATAAAACTGTACAGAAAGAATTTTCAAAGCCAGAAATCTTTCTATCGAAATGTTCTCTTTTTGAAAAGGTTGTAAATATAGAGCATGCGGCTTTTGACACTTAACGGTAACATTAAGCTTCACGATTACAAGTGATGGATGTTTGCAATTTCAGCAATATATATATATATATATATATATATATATATATATATATATATATATAACTTATTTTTAGCAAAATAAGTTTGTCTTTCATAATTACGATGAGCAACAAGCAGAAGAGTCAATCTGACATTTTACTGATATATTTATGCATTGTTTTTGCTATGTATTTTTGAATTTGGCATAATCCATTAGATATTCTTTCATTTTTACCGCTCTATGAAAAACATACCTAATACATATATATATATATATATATATATATATATATATAGATATAGATAGATATAGAGTGAGAGAGAGAGAGAGAGAGAGAGAGAGAGAGAGATAGATAGATAGATAGATAGATAGATAGATAGATAGATAGATAGATAGATGGTGTATGTGTATATATGGTGTTAGTGTATATATGTGTTTTTATGGATATATACATGGTGCGATGGGCAAATTGTCGTCATTTTATATTTTTTATTTCGCGCATGCGCATTCTTTGTTTTGATTTTTTTGCTTGCACAGTATATCGGGTCAGTTGGGCACTGGCTGTGGGAAAAAAAGTGCACTTTGACACAATTTACTTGCAATAAATGCGAACATTTCAGAGTGTTTGGGCGTCAATCTGAGGACAGTGCAGAGGGTACCGAATTAATTGAAAGAGTCTAATGGTGATTACGAAGGTACGACACCTCGAAAACTCACTATTATCGTTCTAGTAAGAAAAGAACTCGCGATTTTTTGGTGAGTGCCTCAGACTATGAAGCGACTATATCAAGTGCCGTGAGGCGGTAGTACTGCCTTGGATCTTTGGCTGGCAACAGGACTCTGCACCAGGCGACACATGCAGGGGAAGCCACTTATGGCTGTAAGACAATTTCTTCATTCCTTATATCTTGCCATCTAACTCCTTAACTGCAACCCCCATGATTATTATGGGATTATTATTATATTATGGGCGCAGTTGAGCGAGAGATCAACAAATCTACTTGTAACACAAAAGATTAAATAGATGCAATGATTCAGATAGCATTCATCCACTTCCGTCCTGAAGAAATTCAAGAGATTCCGAAGTCGTCTGGAGGCCGTGATTAAAGCCAATGGCGATTTTATGGAATAAATTTACTGTTTACTATTTCAAGATATTTTTGTGTAATTTTAGTAAATATATTTTTAAAATGAGTTCTTACGGTTATTTTAATTTTTGAGTAATTTTGACAACAATTTATTCATCGTACTATATATATATATATATATATATATATATATGTGTGTGTGTGTGTGTGTGTGTGTGTGTGTGTGTGTGTGTGTATGTGTGTGTGTGATCCACAGACTGTCTCTATCGCTGTGTCACAGTTCATCAGTGCGGCTAGACATCCAATTGCCTCAAGGCAGGACCGAAATACAAATGATTTGGCACCAGTTGGAGATTTTTCCCATGAACTACCAGCTCCCGGCAGAAAGGGAGGTGAACTTTAACGTATTTATTCTTGAATATACACGCCAGTGACTCGGAGTCCTCAATTCATAGAATAGCTTTATCATTATCAGCAGGAGTCTCTCTTTACAAATTCGCGCTTTTCCCTCTAAAGTGCTCAACCGAATTTTATTTTTTCGAGGGCGTGTATATGTGTTATCCGCAGACAAACTGTTTCACTGTATCACAGTTCATATTTTTTTTTACTGGATATATCACCCAACTCTTTCCGAATCCTCTGTACTGTCCTCAGATTGACACACAAACACTCGGAAATGTTTGTTTTGGAGCTTACGATGTGAATCCCCAGTATTGCAGTGTGTCATTTCCTAATATGTGGCGGTATGAATTGCGTCATGGTGTTCTTTTCTCACAGACAGTGCCCAACTGACTCTAATATATATATATATATATATATATATATATATGTACTAGCAGCATGGCCCGGCGTTGCCCGTGCTTGATTCAAAAATCGTAAGACTCTTACAGCAATCGCTATCACTAGACTTAAAATATTTTTGCCCTCCCTTGCCTTTAAAGGAATGCCCTTTGCCGTGCTGATGTTACTACTACATGCCTTACTTCTTGCCTATCTCACACTGCGAATTTTTTCTAAGCTCTATACTAAACATTAAATCCGTTACGAAAAAAGTACTAAACAAAATGAACACAAAACGATCAGCTTTAAAAAAGGACTCGTAACTGGAAAAACCGAATGAAAAAAGAATGGGCGTTAAAGTCGCCAAACACAAATATGTGAGCAAACAGGTGGAGGGAGAGAGCCTTGTCTATGCTGTCAGAAATGCTATCGAGTATCCCACAGTCTTGAGAGGATGGAAAGCGTTAAAGGGAGAAGAGATACCGCATTGAAGAGAGATAGTCGGAGACACATGTACGCCTGGCCTGGCGATTCGAGAGATAATTCTCTGGCCAGAGGGAGATGTTTCTTGACGTAGACACCAAGACCGTGCATGTGGGTTAGAGAGTACTGAGGAGAGGAAGGTAGCCTGGGATCGAGAGATCAGAGGAGGGGATAGACGAGACAAGGTTGGTCTCACAGAGAGCCAGTATATCCGGGCAGTTTGCAGTGAGGAAAGATTCCATGCTGCAGAAGTTTGTTCTAATGCCACGGAGAACGAAATGTTGAGGGGTTTAGGTGATTTTTGAGTGGCTAGTTTAGGATTACTTTTCGGTCTTTGTAAGTCATGTGGAATTTTGGTTGGAAGATGAGAAGGCCTGAAGTAAAAGAAGGAGACAGTTATCGACCGTGATGTGGGCAGAGAGGAGTTGGCATAGCCTGCATCATAATGTGGCCTCAGGGTTGCCCACCGGAGGTGACTGCAGGGACACCTTTCCATGCGCGAAATGCCACTACAATCACCCCGGTATTATACAACTGTTGTTCAGAGCAGCCGCTCAAGACGCAACGCAAGAGTTACGGCTCCTAACTACCAGTCGGAAATAGCAACCAGAGAACTTTCAACCTTGTACCCTCAGAATTAAGAGGTAATGCCACAGACTGCACACATCACGGGAGAAACAGAGCTGCATTAGTACAGAGACCAGAAAGAGAGGGAGTACCGGGAACCCCTTCCTAAACAAGAAACAAGGCGTGAGCCTCTACTCATGTCCAAGAGAAGTGGAAGGAGTGTTGACCGGGCGGTAGGAAAGCCTACCTACTCCTATTACATATAACACATACAAGGACGACAAAATCAGAGGGAAGTATAAGGGGGGAGGTAATTGGCAAAGAGTCCTGGCTGACACTTGGATTTTACCCTTTCACAACATTACGTTTTAACTTAGTATAAGTCCCATTGTCTCTTCTAAGAAGAAATTGAAGAAAATAAGGTTATCCGCATTTATTGTCGCATCTTGCCAAAGTCATTCAGTTTTCCATTTTTTTTCTGATTTTTTCTTTCGAACCGGGATTTCTAACTAAACCATCAAATACGTTATAATGATTGGGACAAAATGTGTTACTATGGTCGAACACACTGACGAGTAGGGGGAGAATAAATAAAAAAGATTAACAAAAAACAAAAAATAAAGAATTAAAAAATAGAAGTAGAGCGAAATTATACTCACATTGGGCAGCAAGTGTTTGTCCGCTTTCTTCCTCATAATAAGTGAATGTACAGCCTACCTTAAGTCCAAGCATCGACCTGCTGGGGGGGGGGATCAACGGCCAATCCTCCGCCCTCACCAAATAGTGGGTTTGGGAGACATGTTTTCAATAAAATTAAGAACAACAGGAGAGAGAAACGGCGTAAACAATTCCATATATATATATATATATATATATATATATATATATATATATATATATATATATATATTTATGAATTAAGATCAAATATGGATAGGAATGCAAGAGAATGATAGGATAAGGGACAAATAGTAACTTCCGGCCGGGTGCGATACCCTTACCCGTGCTTTCAAATTGATTTCGTGCAAAAACAATTGTGTTTTTCCAATTTTTGGCGGTCAGAAACACCGCCGGGTAATTTTACGTAGTCCTGTGAAATTTTGTTGAAATCGGTTGAAAAATGTAGGAAATCCGATCCCATACATAAACGAAATAAACGAACAGACACACACACACACACACAATCTGAGTTTTATAATAAGTAATATATATATATATATATATATATATATGTCTGCAGGTTGTATCAAAAATAATTTTACAAACTTTTGTGGCGGCCTCCTCACCCTAAAACAAGTACAAAAGTCCATATGATATGTATGAAAGATAATTAGAGGAGGGCCAGTTCCATGCTCTGTACGTTCGCCCGACCTCAGTCCTTTGGATTCTTATCTGTGGTTGGGGGGCACCTAAAACAATTGAATGCAAATATGTTTCATCAGCCTGTCATAGGGGCCCTGTGAAACTATTCGACACCGTCTGAGAGTATTTGAAAGGGCCCGCCAGTCAATGATCCGTCGGGTGCATGCGTGTGTAGATACAAGCGGAGGATTTTTTGAACAGTTGTTATGAGCTGCCGTGCTGAGGTAGAACGATAGCATTTTTTACCATATGGTTATATGGATATTTTACCTTGTTTTGCTGTCAGGAACCGGCCCCCAATTTATTTTTGAATTGTATTTTGGATTGTACATTTAATAGCGTAAAACTTTAAAATTTGGTAAATATCAAAAAGGAAGGAAGCGGGTATATGTTTTTATATACTTTTGTCCTTGTTTTGTTGTGGGGAACCCGTCTCCAAATTTTGTAAATGTGTTTTGATACACCTTTTATAAACCTACTACTTTGCTAATAACCTTCACAGAAATAATTAAGCTAATTACTATCATATATCATAAATGCAGAAATATTCGTAAATGCACTTATTGCGAACCTCTGGATAACATTAACAATTGGTTGCGCCTGAGTGCGTTTCTATGTCTGTATGTAAACATGCGAGAAAAAGAACCAGCATTTATGCTTTCATGGAGATAAAAAGAGAAAAAAAATCCTGAGCTTTAAATATATTTACTTCACCAATCTTTCTCCTGAACAATCCGGTAAATCTTTCCATATATAGATTTGCAATGACTTAAATATCTTTAATGCAGATTTGGGATTCTTTAATTCCATTTCGAATGTAGAGTAAGGGAAAAATTCTTCTATTCTTAGAACCAAGAGAGCCTAAGAGGTTATGTATCAAGGATGATCGCTCTTTTACCACTAAGTCTCATATTAAAAATGCATCGTAAAAATGTTCTTGCATTTTTTTTCGTATGTGTGTGTCTGTGCGTATTGTTAAGTAGAAGAAGCAGATGCCTAGTAAACATTTTTCAGTGTCCCATCCGTTATAGAAAGTCTTGGGTATGACGATAAACTACATCCGGCAGCAAGGGCGCTCGTCTAGAGATTGGTTATAGGGGTGCTGAAGCTCGGAGAACTACCTCTTAATTTCTTTTGTTTCCATGTCCGCCATAACAAGGTGTGGTAGCATCCG